GACAGTGACTTCTAGTTCCACCTTGGGCATGAAAGCCGGCTGGGTGACTTGGGTCCAGTCCCTCTCTCTCAGCCAAAACCCACTTCACAGGTGTGGTTGTGGGGAAAATACGGTAGGAGGAAGGAGTATTAGATATGTTTGCCCCCTTGAGCTATTTTTATAAAGCTAATAAAAGCGGGAAATAAATTAAATAAATGCATAGCTTGAAAGTAATCGAAGTCATGGACTCCATCTGAGATGGTGGATTGGCACTAGGCGGTCTCCAAGGGCCACCAGTTGAGTTCCCTCTGAAGAATATCCAGCTACCTACATCTGTTGAATGGAATAGGATAGAATAACAAGAGATGGAAGGGACCTTGGAGGTCTTCTAGTCCAACCCCCTGCTTAGGCAGGGAACCCTACACAAAGTGGTGTTTGAGTCCCAAATGGGACAAAATGGGTCTTTTTAACCCCTAAGGGTCGGTGAAAATAGGATAAAACAAATAGAGGAAAAAATAGAGAAATCCCCCACCATCATCATTAAGGGAGGAGCTGGAAAATGCGCAAAATACACTCATTGATAAAAAAAGGGCTATTTTTATTTGATTCATATGGATGCCCATCTTAGCTACGGGTAGTCCTCGAGTTACGACCACAACTGAGCCCAACATTTCTGCTGCTAGGTGAAGCGTTTGTCAAGGGCCCCATTTTACGGCTTTTCTTGCCACCGTTGTTAATGTGAAGCATTGCATTTGTTAGGTGAGTCACACGGTTTGTTAAGCGAACCTGGCTTCCCCCGTTGACTTGGCTTGTCAGAAGGTCGCAAAAGAGGATCGCGTGACCCACGGGGGACACGGCAACCGTCGTAAATGTGAACCAGCAGCCTGAATTTTGATCGTGTGACCACGGGGGGGGGGGGGGGGTGCAATGGCCGTAAGCGTGAAAAATGGTCACGAGTCCCTTTTTTCAGTGCCGTTGTAACTTTGAGCAGTCATTAAATGAATTGTTGAAAGTTGAAGTCTACCTGTATATAAAATGTCTATAAACAAAGCAGAAAACCCCCACAATTCGAACAGTCCCCATAAAATGAGTGAGGCATATATCTAGTCAAGCCCTAAATCTATTCTTGCTCAAAATCAACTCAAAATCCATCTCAACCACGAAAAGAACCTTGTATGAAAACATGGACAAAAAGTCCCAGAGGAATATTGAGAATGCCTCAATTTTAAGAAAAGCAGTCCATAGGAAAAATCAAAAAGATTTGGAGCAAGGATAATGGTTTTTAAGTAAAAAGTAGATACAAAGTAAGTTGTATATAAATATTAGCCCTCATGGTGGTTGTTTTTTTAAAACACAGGCCTTCAATGTTTCCACCCACCCATTGGAAGGGAGAACAAACAGACTTGTAACTTGGCTACTATTTGACAAGGGGAAAAGTGCTGCTTTGGGTTCAGATGGCTAGTCATTCCTGTAGAAATGTTTATTACTTTTGTTTTAAAGAGCTGGGACAATAGGTTTCAGTGAAAGTGAAGGATGCAATTAAGTCAGAAACAAATCAACCAGCAATTTAAAGGAAACGGAAACAAGAAAAAGAGAGAAAGGGAGGGAGGAGAAGGAAGGAAGGAAGGAAGAGGAAAGAGAAGATAGAGAAAGAAAGACACACAGAAAGGTGAAAGGGAGAAAGAGAGAGAGAGAGAGAGGAAAGAGGGAGGGAGGGAGGGAGAAGGGGGGGAAGGAAGGAAGCAAAGAGATAAAGAAAGACACACAGAAAGGTGAAAGGGAGAGAGAGAAAGAAAGAATGAAAGAGAGAGAGGAGGGGGGAAAGAAGGCACAAAGGAAAGAAAAGATGAAGAGAGAGAGAGACAGAAACACAGAGAAAGGTAGAGAGACAGAGACAGACAAAAAGAAAGAAAGGAGGGAGGGAAGAAGGAACAAAGAAAAGAGAAGATGGAGAAAAAGACAGAAAGAAAAGAAAAGAAAAGAAAAGAAAAGAAAAGAAAGGAAAGGAAAGGAAAGGAAAGGAAAGGAAAGGAAAGGAAAGGA